AAAATTGATATTTCCTAAAAAAAGTAGATTTTTAAGTGTGGTGTTGATGTATCAAATCTTATTGATTTATCTGTTGTCGTTTAGAAAATATTTAACTGTCATCGGACTTTATTACCAACCTCTATACTATTCATGCATTCTACCTTTTACCTCTAAAAAAGCCCCTGAAAGGGGCGAAATGTCAGTTTAATGTGTACTTTCTATGTGTTCTATTGACCTCCTGAGACTTCTTTATTCAGGTGAGTTAGTTGTTTATCCTTCCTTTCTCCTCAATAATTATTACAACGCCAAGATGCTTTTTTCCCTTAAAAAACTAACCTTTTGTTTTAAAATGTATTTTTGGCTCAGTTTTGTAAGGTTTAATCAATATTAGCCTAATTGTAATGTTCTTAAAACATGTACTAGTTTCTTTTAATTTAAAACTTAGTTATTTGACAATTTAAAACGTAGTTATTTGAAATAATTGTCTGGGGAAATAGAAAATGTAGTAATAAGATAATATACAATCTTGATTCTGTGATGCTCTCAAGTGGTCTCAGTGCTCGATTTGTAAAAAATAAGATGCCAGAATTAATTGTAACCTACCAAGAGTTATGACCCCCACCCCTATCCACCCTCAAAAAATTGTTGAGAGGTACCAGAACGCCGTTTGGCGTAGTCTTACCAAGTAGTGTTTCTTGTTAAGTATAAACTAATTTTTTAATGGTCCTATTCTTAAATTTATTACTGGAATTGTTAATAACTGTCACATAATATGTTTCAGAAATAAAACTTCGGGGGAAGGATATGGGGAAACCCCTAGTTCCCAAAGAAAAGAAGTGAATTCCTTAGGACCTAACCTGATCTCAACCACCGTTCATTAACCTCTTGTTAGTTCTACTGGAAGAAACGTATAGACAGAAGACCATCCTCACATTAGACGAACATATTCCTTCAAGTTGATATACTTCTAATAACTGTTGTTTTGTTATTTTTTTACTTCCAATATTTGATAAATAAAATTGATCTAACAACGGTAGAAATGTGAATAAATTCTTAACTTGCTCCGTTTGTAGAAAGTAGTTATTATCTAACATCCTTGACTTTGTCTGAAGTAGACAAAGTTTCTTCATGGGTTTTTTTTTTACCAAAGAAGAAAGGTGGAGGAATATGCTAATTGGACAACTGTGCGCTTTCAGCTCTGGTATGTTGGAGCGGAAATATACTTGTGACGAGTAAGGAAGAGCCCGAACAGCGAGCACTGTAAGAAAATTCCTATCAGACAGGGCACAGGGTCTTCCTCCACCAAGAGCGTTGTAGTACATGAGGATGGGGAGGTCCGGGACTTTGCTCTAGACAGCACAAGTGCTAGACACCACTTAAGTGTTCTAGACACCAGCACAAGTGCTAGACACCACTTAAGTGTACCTTGTAGTGTATCCTCTGTTCCTTACTTCTCTTTAATATTACTCCAAGAGAAAAAAGCTTATGAAATGTTGTGGGATGCTACGTTGATTGTAATCTTGAATTTTCCTTTTTTAAAGACTGGGCTACGATCAATAATGGATAACAGTTTTTACAATTTATTGAAAGAACTGCCTTATTACCTTCTGCACCCTTTCCCTGTTGACAAACCCCAATGAAGTAATTTTAAAATCAATTTATATTGTTTGTCTTGATTTAGTTGATGGGAAATAACAGTAGTAAAATGTCAACTAAGTTAGTAGAAGATTGGGATTGATCAGACAAAATCAAATCAAAAATCAAAATATAATTTATTTCCAAAAATATTCAACAGAAAAAAAAATAAACATAAACTTCCAGTGAAACAGACACCTTACTTGCAATTGCATGGATAAAATAAATAATTATAAAAATAGATGTAAACTTAATAATAATAATAACAAAGGATGGAAGGTTTCAGAGAAAGCTATGTTAAATGTAGTCATTTAGGAAATAAGCCTACATGGGCGGGAAGCCTGTGCGTAGGCTCAGTCGCTATATCAGTGACTTATGTATTTGTTGGAAAACAATAATATTCATAAATATTTAGAAAATCTTGAAAAAACAAGTAATTTAATACTTATATAATTGTACCGTCAACTATTCTGAGGCTAAATTAGTGAAATGAGCAATTTGAGGAATGAGGCAAGGCGGAGGGCATAGACATACTATAGTTAAGAATGTTCGATGTTAGTAATTCAATAATAATTACGAGAGAATAAGTAGGGTCAAGTCTGCCTGTACTCTGCTTTGATTAGGAGTTCTGATTCATCTACACCCCACTCTATCAGACAGCCAGTGATGCATTTTTTGAAAATAGTAATCAATGGAGAATGAAACAAATTATAAGAATTACAACGGGAGATAACATTACGATATAAAACTTCAGAAATGTAAGAGGAATTTGTTAATGAGTAAGACTTAGCTAAATGGGAGGTAGTTATTCCGACATTCTGTGCATATCGGGTACTATAAGAATGTGATGTTTGACACAACAGTTGTCAGTGTGAGACAACTGAAGTTTTTGAAAATAAACAACTTTATTATTAAAAGCTAGATCCTTACTATTTCTTAATTTTTAAGGGTCTAAAATCTAAATAGTCTAGTTTACAATAGTTTTATTAGGAATGTCTGGGTGTTTATATGCCACCTAAAGTGATAGCTAGCCCTATAAGGGAAATTCCCTAAAAATATAAAATTACATTGTTATAAATCCTAATGCAGAAATTGTGTTCAGGTTGAGATAAGATTACACCTCATCTCTCCAATCACCCTTTGTGCGCTATTTGATCTGGTGTCGGATTTAAAATAAATATTATGCGTTTAGATGTTTTGTGCAAAGTCGATCCTGCTGATAGGCAAATTTTCATAAATTTTAGCTAGGAAAAGGAAAGTTTTGTAAGTAGCAATAGTTTACTTTTTTAGATATATTTGTTTTACATAGAATATTTTGGGTGGTAAATGTAGAATAGAGTGTTCAAATTCATGTCGATCATAAGGAAGAACTAACCTGATGCAATCAGTGAACAATTTATTATTTACAATTTAAATATTTTACCTTATAAGACAGAAAGGAATTCCTGGTATATATTATTAACTGTATAAGATACAGAATAAATGAAAATTACCAAGACAGAAGAATATGTCTGCTTACTTCACTAAAACAAAGTATTTCTTTTAATTTTTCCAGAATTTTCTCCATCAACCCATTAGTGACCATAATAAGGTCATAAGGGGGGTTCAGGCTTGAATACTTGCACAACAAATGCTTCCAATTGTAATGCTTTAATCGTTTCACAGGTGCAAAATCCATTGTAATACAATTTTTTTGTTGCATCTAGGCATTTCTCAAACAGGTATTTTACTTCAACTTTACGGTAGTAAAGTTTTATAGTTTTAATGCTCAAGGATTGTCTAATCAAATAATTGCCAAGACGTCCCTGTGAAGGATTGTCTAACAAGGTTTATCCATTGTTTGCCGTCCTGCTAATTCATAATTTTACTGTAATACCTTAATTGGCTGTCAACAGGCCAGTCTTTTTGTAATTTAGGAATAACTATTGGTTTTTTGTGAGATGTCTAATCAATAATTTGGTATTTTATTCTTGCATTCCTATCTTATCTTTTCTGGTATGGGTTAATTGGAGCTCAGGCCTCAATATTATAAGGTGTTTTATCCCGATTTGTTGGATTGTTGTGCCCCAGTTAGTTTAAGAAGTATTCTATAAAGTGGCCTTCAATTATCCAGGCACATGATGAATGCCTGCTTTCTACCAATCAGTTTCAGAAAGGTGACTTCTCCCCTACAAGATTGCCAATTAATATCTGTCCTTGAGGAACCTCAATGATGAACTCCTAACAGTTGTAAAGCAGGAGATCAGATCAGGCATTCCCTGCTGCTGCACCTCCAACATTCTACTTACTACCGTAGCGACATTATCATCGTGAACCCATTTCTCATTACTCGACAAGACCAATAGGTAGTTAAAGGTGGCCGTGCCTATAGACTAAACAAGAAGGTATATTATGGTCTATGGTGGACGGTGGTATTCCATTACTTGTAGAGGTGTGCTTCTTTCCTTCAAACTATGTTCTTCTGTCGTTCTTCTGTTGCAGAAAATAGCAGTAAGAATTGTATGTAATGCCCTACACCGAGCCCATTGCAAACCATATTGTTCAAACTGTGTGGTGCGGTGCAATGACTATTGTTAATATTTACATTTTTCAGTGCCTAGTAGCAATCAAAGATAATGAGAGTGTATTTCTGACAAACAGCGACATCCATATGTATAATACAAGGAATAGAAATAACTTTCACATGAACAGATCTAGGTTAAGTTTGTTTGGTCTTGAATTGTTATCCTGTTTCAGGGATGAAATTTTTCAATTGCCTCCCATCAGCTGTAAAAAAACCTGTGTAAAACTAAAGTCTGTAAAAACCATAAAATCATGGCTTTTGTCAAACCCTCTATATAGCTTGGATGAGTTTTATGAAGCAGATCTCTCTAGCATGATTAAAGGAAAGATAGCACAAGTAATGTATAGCTTGGTAAGATGCATGGTTTGCAGCTTTGCAGATGCTGTTTGCTGTGAACTCTTGATTTTATTTTGTTTGCTTACATGTTGTTTTTTATTATTTGATGTTTGATTTGTGCATGTTGAATTGTATATTGTACAGTTTGTATTTAATGGCCAAATAAAATGATTTATGATTTATGTGGAGTAATACCTGCGGACGACAATATATCAGTTTACCTTTCGCCTTTGTTGCTGTTGTCTTCTTATCACTAACGTTATAATCTAACATATATAATTTATAAAAAATACTTACACTGTTTAGTATATGTAGACGATGACTGAGTAAATTTAGTTTTATCTGTTGGCAATACTAGAAAATGTCGGCTGTTGCAGAATCTGAAACTATAACAGCTGTTCAGTACAGTTACAGTAGCTTTAGATATTTTTTTGTACAAGTTCCAAGTTCGTGATCGTGATCAGATGGATGAATTTCCTTTACTGCCATATTTGGGGTTAGGTTTCAATTTAGTTCTGCCGTTTAGTAAGCATAAAATATATTCTGTTTTATTGTTACTTGAGTTTTAAAGAATAATTATGTTATGAAGTGTATTATACAACGATGGATAGTATAAATAACTTTCGTGTAGCGGAAACAAAATTACAGCTAGGCCTTCATGTTAATGAATAACACATTCATTGGTATGGTATGTTTTTATTTAATATTTAGGTTAGAATTAGTTTTGTTAATTAAACATTACTGGAGTTACTTATTTGGAAAAAACTTAGTTTTGGGTAAACAAATTTTAAGAAAAAAAATCAGACTAATATAATTCATTTGTACACACAACTATTAAAACATAGGTAAACAAGACAAATAGTAGGATAGGCCTTCTAATGAGTTATGTGGCATAGGCATAGGTTAAGGTCTTTGAATAGACTGAAAATTTTCATTTCTTCCGTATCGTCCATATTGTAGTGAAAGCAGACACAATAAGTTATAACTGATTGGGTTTTGTCTTTATTCAAAAGACTAGCAGCTGTGTACCCGTTTTACGCACGGGGATCTTGTAGTATTCAGTTGAAACCTTCTTATATACAGTATAAAGAACAGCAGTTGGTTTGCATATTTTCAGATATGCTGGCCAAACAATTATACCTAACTTCATTTTATGTTGTTTGTTGTTGTTCCGGATCGGTATGACAATCAATAAAAGGTTAAATTACCTGTGTCCGCCGGTCGATCGTAATGTATCCTATTACAGGAGATGCATTTCGGTGAAATTAAATCGCCATCATCAGTCCTAATATAAGGTCTTAAACTTCCCCATTAGGTGCGTCTTGGAGTTTTTGAAACACATTCACGAACTGTACACTTATACACATGACGAATAAAAAATAAATACACTGTAGGCCTACTTTAATTTTGACTATGGACATGTAGACGCGCGTCGGTCGTGTGCCGAGTCTCGACTGTAAACGCTCATTTAAAAAATGTAAGTTTCCCAGCCATATACAACACTGATTCAAGGTCTTTTCCCCGGTTATCAAAACTCTAGAACAATTTTATGCACAAAGAATCTCTTTTTTTAATTTACGGTTACCGTACAAATTATTGCACTTGCGATTAATTAAATCCGTTATGTAAGGAAAAACGTTTTTAATCTTACTTGGTTTGAATTTTCTTTCAAAACGTGATAGGAATTGGTTATGGTATTTGTAAACAACATTCAATGGAAACATACCAGTCAGTGACAGCTAGAAGAAATAATCTTGATTTGAACAGCTGTTCGTTACTTCATAGATGAATATGTGATAAACATTGGGAGAAAACTTTACAAAAAATCGCACAAAATTGGGTTTTTAAACGTCGGTCATTTACAAAGTAGTGACGCCATATTTTAATGGCTAAAGACAATCTCGCCAATCCAGTGAATACATTAAAATGATTTGGAACTTGATAGGTACTCTCGTTTTTTAGGAGAAGGCCACGTAAAATGGCTCTTGGGCCGTGACAGACAGGAAGACAGACGGACAGAAATTTAGATGAGACTTGTTTCGGTTTCTTTAATGAATAAAACGTAAAAATAACCTAAAAGTTTATGATTCTGAGCAATGTACAGACAAAACTCTAATTTTATTTATATAGAAAACTATTGGCTGAAAACCACTCGGCAGCAGTGTTGACTGTGTTTCTGACTAGAGATATAAGATGCAAAAGGTCACTGTGACAAGAGAGCTAGGTGATATCATTCGCATAGAGATAGAAATTGCAACCAGAATTCATAGGCAGATCATTTAGGCTATATGGCAATTAAGAACAGAAGGGGACCCAAAACAGAGCCTTGAGGTACCCCGCAGATGCTGAAGGACCATTCACCATCAGCATATAGGCTACCGATCTTATCTTCGATTTGTTTGATAAGACCACAAAAGATTTAGAACACTGTTTCTAATTCCATAAAATTCCAACTTGCAGCAAGACAACACAATCAAAGGCTTTGACCTAAGATCAATGAAGGTGGCCCAGGCAAAATCTTTTTTTTCAAAAGCCCTGTGAATGTCCTGAACCATGGCATCAATTGCATCCACGGCTGCACTATAGTTTACGTCCTACATTTACTCACATAGGCTACTACAGTTTGGTTTTAGCGAATTTCCCTATAGGGAAGTAGCTATTACCGTAGGTGGCACGGTAAGACCTAGGCCCGGGACCGATTTACTTTTTCATTTTGATGTCCCCAGAGGCCAAAAACACTATTCGTTCAAATTTTTATATATGTATATATATATATATATATATATATATAGATTTATATATATATATACGTCCGTGAACGCGATAACTTGAGTAATTTTTGTCCGATTTTGATGAAATTTGGTTTGAAGGTGTAAGGCGGGATAAACTTGAATGAGTTTGCGAACCAGCATGATCGGACCATGGGAACAGTGTTTTACGAGGGCTTTTATGGGGTAAAAAAATGGGTTTTCTCATTTTTGACCCTCAAAACACAAAATTTCTCAATTTCTCTCAAGACCTTGTTAAAGAGCTTAAAAAAACAAATAATTTAGTATGTCAAAGTGTTTTTGTACGGTTATTGGTAACGGAGAAAATTCAAAAATTGTAAATTCAAAATTCCCATGTTATTCTTATGGAGAATATTGTAAAATGATGTAGTTTGCTTGTTTATTGATATATTTGGATTAAACTTGGCCAATTTATTATTTTATACTAAGCTATTAATATTTTACTAAAACACTCGCATAATTAGTTTCCTTGTAGCAGCAAACCTAGGTACTAGTTAAACCTAATTTTATTTAAATAGATTTTATCAAAAATCAGTTCAGACACATGGAAATTTGCTTAGTTGGCAGGTATGCTGCGGTGGGGGTATTTTATACATTTTATATATACAGTATCCTTTGTTGGGAAACTTATTTTATTACTTAACATACCGTGCATTTTAAATCCTAAACAAAGTCAAAACACTTAAATACAAACATGGCATCCATCAGAAGGTCTTGTTGATTAGCAAAATATACAGCAGTTTAAACACCTCCTTTACAATGTTATCATTACCTATATATTATAATCCTTGCAAACCATACGCTACGCATCGATTTATATAGGCCTACTACCGGGGAGTATTATACATTGATGATCATAATATGCTGAAATTCAACACGCAATCAATTAAAACAATACTATACAACTGACACAAGTCCAAGACAAGAACCAGGCAACTACATATTAGGACAAATCATATGGATCGTCAAACTATAATTATTTTATATCTAAAAGGGATCAGCCTCAGCAGTGTGATGTGTAAGGTTCGGTGCTAGTATAGTCAGTCGTCAGCTGTCGGTTTTGTTGTTTGTCTTATATTGACAACTGGTCCGTGTCTCAAGATAATCAGGCTAACACCTGTTTGTGTCAAGTAACATGCACGGGTAGTGACATTAGACAGTGCTTGCCATTTTTCGAAATGGTTCGTTCTTTGCTCTTTTCTTACAATGTGTGATCTTTGTAGCTACCCTTAATTATATAATGAGACACAGGGGGGTTATAGCATTGACTTTATGGTTATAGTTTGATATTTTGATTCAAATAAAATCCATAAAATACGAATGGCTATAAAATAAGATGCCGTTTTGGTTGTTTCGTGTATTTTTTTAATAATTATAAAATATAAATTACATTCATTGTTTGACGAAACTGATTTCATTTTCACAGGTTCCCGGTCTTACAAAACCTACTGCCTCAAACAAATTTGTGTTTTCATTCAGGTGGTTCGAGAGATCCCTGTCGTGGCTATCGGCACACAAAAGCACTTTTATTTTGTCCTGATTTTTTTGTTTGACATTAACTTATTGGTTACAGTTTTATTGGATGGTTTCATGATTGTGGATGGAACTTTTTCTATGACATCTTCTTGACTGTACTCGTGGATTTTAGATAGAGCATCAAAGCGATTATTGAGATTGATTGTGTACTTGTGGTTATTTTAACTGGAGATTGCCTTTTTTTAGATTTTCACTTCCTGCCAGTCAGATAAGCTTTCAGATTCAGCCCTAATGCTTGATTTAGTAGCTAGAGGGGAAAGCAACATAAACAAGAAGATTTAACATTTTCCATAGAGTGTAGTTTTTTTCTAGATTATTATTTTCAGTTGTTAAGAGTGATTTAATAGTTTCTAATGTTCTTATTGATGACATCATGTTGTTTGTTTCTTCTCTAAGTATTTTACACTCCATGCATTTGTAATTTACTGTTGTTGGATTAGAAGTTACGCTATTCTTCTTTTGCACACGTTTTATCTTTTGCACACGTTTTGCTGTGGCAGGGGTATTTTTGTTTATGTTTTGTTTTATTTTTGTTATTTTTCCACTAATTCTTTCAAATGATTACAGGTAATTGGATTGGCCATGATGGTTTATAGTAACCATGACTCAACAGTTTTGGCATTTTTATTCATCCTTATAACTTCATTATTTACATTGCATGCAGTTCGAATTCATATGTAATATATAAATTGAACCTGAAGTAGAATAGGCCTGAACACTGAAGTTCTGGATGAAAAGACTTATTTATTTAATTTAAAACTTGTACATATCCCTTGTTTTGTTACTTATCTGGTTACCTTGTTTTGTTACATAAAAAATGTTTTTTTTAATAAATTTTATGATAATGTATTGTTTTTGTTTTTTTTTTCTTTTTTAATTCTCTAAAATTGTTTCTCAAACAATTCGGTTTGAATATAATTTCAATGAAAAGATTCTTATTTTGAAACCGATACTTTTTTTTGTCACTGTGTTTTCTAGTATATTTTTACATTCCATATTCCAATCTTATAAGTTAAAATAAAACTACTTATATTTGACTTTGTCTCTTAATTTTCTGTTGGTTTCATTAAATAGATTCTGCTCCAAGTGCACGAGATCTAGGTACAATCAATGGGACCTGGATAGTTGGATGGCTCCAATAGTTCAGGGCATTTATCAGAATGGACAGGGTTGTGGATATATTAAAAATATTGGGGGAAATGCCATATATGATTAATATACTTCTATGCCACCAATACCAATGAATTACATCACAGCACTAAACACTAAAGAAAAGACTTTTAGGAACCTGCATCTATCTCTGCAAACACAATGATTTGTTTTCAACTTGTTGGTGACTGTACTGTACTGTAATATATGCATA